TAACTTTTTGTGACAGTAGAATTTTATAAACTAAAATATTCCTAAAAATTCAAAGAATTTATGGTGAAATCTTAAAAGAAAACAGTGGCTTGGAAATTTCCCAAGTTTCTAGTAAATAAAAAACTCTTCCTTTCAGAGCCCTTAAACTTACGCACAGTATGCAGTGTGGCTTTAAAGTGTTAAAGAACTTTAGCAGATGCTACTCTGGTTCTTGCCAGTGCAAACTGTAAAAGATTCCAGAACCTTTTGTTTCTTAAAAAAAGAAAAGTCTGTCCCATCCGAACATCATTCAGATGTGGTTTCATGGTCAACACTCAGGTAACTTAGGATGAATGGACACTTGGTACCTTTTTCATTTAATGAATCTAAATAAGGCTGCCAGAGCCGGAGGAGTCACGTGAACAATGGGGGTTTTTCTCCTATTAACTCTGATCCTTCCCACTTGCAGTTTCTGTGGTTCTGTGTCAGACAGAAGTTACACAGCTGCAGGGAGAAAGATAATTGCCAGAGATAAGGTGGGGGGCTGCCCGAGGCGCGGTGCTCTGACCAGCTGCACTCACCCCATCTACCCCACGAATGAAAACATGCTGGCAATGCAGGGGAAATGACTGTTTCCCAGGAAAGGAAGCGGCCTGAAAACACATCTGGCAGAGGGCTTTTTCTCTCCTTTGGCAATCAGATGTTTTAACAAAATATACATTTCCTCACCTTTCGCAAAGGAACATTCTATAGCAAGGCCAATGCCGCCGAAATGTAGGTAGATGATGCTTAATCTATGCTCTAAAGATACCCGGCCAGCTATTCTACGTCCAAGGCTACATATACTTATGTAATTGCAATCGGGACAGGCAATTGTGCTACTGTCGGCACTGCACTTCATTTCAGAAACTTCCTATTCTCAAAGCCCTCCATGCCCTCCTTGCTACCTGTACCACATGAAACGGAACAGGTCAAGAAAGTGAGCAAGGCATTGTGGACACCAGGGAAGTGCAGAATGTGTACGTAAAGCTTAACAGATGCACGGAATTCCCTGGGATCCTGAGACTAACAGTTTGATTTATAGTCTACAGCAGTGAATTGGTTTGTGGATTCACAAAGGGAGAATTCCTGTCCACAGAGCCACAAGTAGTGACACTGAAGGTGCCTGGGGGCTTCCACTTAGACCACTGAAGGCCACCAAGTCACCACAGTGAGATGGGCTCCATCCCTGGGGAGCGGGTCTGGGGGCATGGGGGTGACAGACAGATGGCATTAAATGGCCCCTCTCCATCTTCTCCGAAGCAGGATGACTTTGCCTATACTAAAACTGGGGTAGAAATCTTTGCTTGAAATTCCCCCTTTGCTTCCTCACCACTAACGTAGGAGAAACAGGCACAGAGGCACTGACAGAATGCGTGCCTTCTCACCTTGCTGAGCCCTGGCTTTCTGTCCGTAACAGGGACAAAGGCACCTTGCACACTTACATGCGTGTGTTTATACTTCTCTTCCTTTTCTTCTATTTTTACAGTAACCTGAAGGGGCTTTCCTCTGGTACTTTTCCCAAATCCCATGGCTCTTACAGCATTCCAGATTTGGGGTTTAATATGAGTTCAACACAAAGAGCAGCTCTGTAGGGTGCTAAGAGTTGACAGCCACGTTTTGGCAAAATGGGTAGAGATGGCACTTATGGTTCCTCAAATCCAGCTCAATACCCAGGCCCAACGGGGCAGAGACAGAGCCCTTGCAACAGGCATAGGAAGAAATTGCCGTATGAGCGCCTGCTCCCTGAAGGCTGGAGGTTCTTTGTTTTTTTCTTTTTCTTTTTCTTCTTCTTTTTTTTTTTTTTCTTTTTTGCCACTTGTGGCTACTGTTAAAGTTCTCATTAATTAAGGAGTACAATTTTGAGGGAAGGGGAGGTGAGGAGGAGGAGTGATACAGCTTTCTCTTCATCCTAAGTTTTACTAGTGGCCTTCCTAACGTTTTCCCCTGTACACTGAGCATTAGGGTGGATTTATAAACATGCTGACTGGTTTTATTTGGCCAATTTTAAACAGGCCAAGGACAGAGAAGGAGGAGAGATGGCCAAGAAATCTCTGACGTCCCTGCTGGCCCCAGCGTGCCAGGCGCCCGAGAGTCCCCGAGAGTGCCCGTCTGTCTGCAATGGCTAAAATCAAACTCTGGTGTCCCAGCTTCATCTTCAAGGGCATTTCAGCACTCAGAATCCTCATATAGCAACAGGGCACTTTCCAAATTTTGAGGCCGTGTTGGCCAAAAAAGCTGTGCCAATCACCACCTCTGAGTCCCGCAGGCGGCGATGACGTGAGGAAGGCAGACTCCAGCTGGGCGGGGTGAGGCTGAAGACAGGAGCCTGGCTCGGGAGGGGCGGTGGAAACAGGCTGAAGCAGGACTGTGCTGTGACGCAGGGGCACCCGCATGTTCGGCGTGTCCTTCCATTAGCCAGGCCTTTGGCAAAGGGACATTTGCCGTGTCTCCTGGGATTCTGTCCATGGGGACAGCAGCACCATGTCTCTCCCTGGGTCAGGTTCCAGGGCCCACTTCCACAGCTAGATCTGTCCCAGGATAGAACTACCAGGTGAAATCCTGCATATAAACTGGCTCCATGGACCACAGCAGAAGCCACTTGGGGACTCTCCTTGGCACCCACGGCTCAGGCCGTCCTGCTGGGTGCTGACTGAGCTGGCACCTTTCTGGGTTTCTGGCTCCCTGTAATACCGTGCAAGCAAAGCAAAACATCTCAGAGAGCTGCACAGATGGCCCTGGGTGACCGGAAGGTTCTACAAAGGTGTGACTCTGAGCTGGACAGCAGCGGGTCTGTGCCCATCACCCACGCCACTGGATGGGAGCAGAGGTCACAGGGTTTACACGGAGCGAGGGTCAGTAGTTGAGTTCTTTGTGATGCTGGCCTCTGTCCTTTGGGGGGCAGTGAACTGTGGTTTTTCCGTCCCCTGTGTACCTTAGGGTGGTTACATCTGCACATTCAATGTTGGGGCAGGGACACGAGTGCCCGGCACAAGTGTTGGGAGCATGGCGAGCCGTGCCGGGCAGGTGGGCAGGTTTGGCCCGCCTGTAACAGCAGCCCTGAATTTACACCTCGTCTATTTTCAGCCACCCTGTCAGCCAGTCGTCCAAGCCCGAGATTCGACAGCAGCAGCACAGTCAGGCCTTGCCTGGAGAAGCTCGCACACAGCGCCTTTGCTCCTGGGGCTTCTCACGGGTCCGCAGACCATGGCCATGCGGCTCCCAGCGCGGCTCTCCCTCCTGGCTGTGCACCCTATGCCAGCGGGAGCACTCTGTGCCCGGCACACCAAGGCACGAGGCTTCCCAGCACATCTTCCGCATGCGGCTTTCCCAGCCAGCGTCCTGGGGTCACTTTCTCACTGGGTCTTCCTGTGCCCCTTTCCCCAGCACTTCCCGGCCAGACTCAGGAGTCTAGCTCAGGCGGCAGAGACTTTGCTTGACCCTGGCTGTCCCTGGGGGTCTAACTCAGAGGTCAGCCAACTACTGCCCATGCGCGGTAGTGAACAGTCTGAGAGCTGAGTATGTATTTTTAAATGGTTGTAAAAAAAATCCAGAAAAGATTGCAGGAAAATGAAAATAATGAGAAATTCAAATTTCGGCGCCCACAAGCAAGGCCGAGCCTTGCGTGAGCAAAGCCGGGCCTGCGGCTGCGCAAACATGGTCCCTTTAGCGACACGCGCAGGTTTCTAACTCGCTCCCCAGGGCCCAGGAGGAGACCCATGGCCGAGAAGGGCTGCGGGCGGCCTTCTGCCGCGCCTTTTCAGCCCTGGACTACACTCAGAACGTGCACGGACGCTGCTGTTTCATGTGGAATCAGAGTGTGGCACGGGTGTCACTATGCAAGGGCGGGGAACCCGAGTCCAGTTTAGTAGAAGGTCCCTTTAAAGACAGGGAACTGACATTTCCAAATCGCATGCACTACCTCATCCCATCTTAAAGCCATCCTAAAACCCCGGGGTCCAGAAAACCACAGGCTGCACTTTCTCAGCAGGGTGAGTGAGGCTGAGTGAAGTCGAGTCTTTGCTTGGGGCCCCCAGCACCAGGGTTCTAACAGGGACTCGTCTTAGAGCCCTGTCCCCTGTCCCTGGAGCGCATTTTCTTTCATTGGTTCCCCTGGTGGGAATCCTGCCCCAGGAGCCGCTTCCAGGGCACGCCCACGGACCCCTCCTCAGAGGGTGCAGAGTGGTGTGTGGCAGCTGCTTGTGGTGTCACCTGGGGACAGTGCATCCTGCACACGGGAGCACAAATGGGGCGCAGCAAAGGCCTGGAGTCATTTTCCTGTGCGGGTTTGTGGGGTCATTTTCCTGTGCTGGTCGGTCAGCAGGCTTTTAAATCCCGAGTTTCCAGTTTTAGTTCTTAAAGGAAGGGGCTCAATCAAAGGACTTACAGAGCCATAGATATGGTGAGATAGAAACATCTTAGAAGTTAGTGCAGCTGCTGAATTTTACAGATGAAGACATCAGAGCTTAAGTAAAAAAAAAAGGAAGTGATTTTCTGGAGTCCAACATGAACTCATTCAATGGATAATGATAGAAAATGAGGAGATCTGAGCAAATTTTGATTAGGTGAAGAAGTCTGTGTTCCTCTCAGCAAATCTGTGTAATTTTTGATTCCTCTGACTTTTGATTGTAATTTAATAATCCAATCATCAGTAGAGTATATTAAGTTTATTTTGAATACTGAAATGGACTTTTAAAGAAAAGAGATAAAGCTTAGCAAATGATCTTTGCAGCATGATCTGATAAAACTGGATCTTCCTATCATCTTGTTTTAAAATGAAAACTTTGTATAACTTAGCTAAACAGTTCAAAAGTCAAGTAATACCAAGGAAACTATTTTTCCCTGTGAAAAGGCACACAGTTTACATGAGCCAAATTTCTCCCTCTTTATTTGCAATAACAAAAATAAACTGAAGCCCTGACATAGTTGTAGTATTTTTATTCCTAAAGGAAAAAACAGGAACTTTCATTGTACTTTAAAGTTAAAGTTATTACCTCAGATATTTTGCCAGCTTAGCGCCGCGAAATGAGTTTCAGACAAAAGAGCTCGAGAGCTCTCTCTAGGAAATACTTAATCAGGGTGGGGCCTGGGCCGGGCCCAGGGGTGCCGAAACCGATCGGCTTTCCCAGGGGGCTTCTGCAGTCTACAGCCTGGCCGCACCGCAAGCATTAGGCTCGGCGTTTTCCTGTTCCCTGGCTAGTGACCCCCCTACAGGAAGATAGCGGAGAAGCCAGGAGGGCGGAGCAGCTCCCTGCACATGTCTGGCTGCTCTTATCAACTTATCATATAAGGAAAGGAAAGTGATTGATTCGGATACTGACACTGTAGAATCTGGGGAAAGAGAAACAAAGCTGCAGGAAGGCTGCTCTCTCTGAGGCTGCTGCAGCCCTCCTGGGTGAGCCAGGCTGCTCGTCCCGCTGCAACCTCAGTTTACTGCATGCCGGGAGGGACAGCAGCATTAAAACCAACTTTGCTCCTGGAAGAGGAGGGAAAAGACGGACTTTCCTTAATGGGCTCAGCCATGGTAGCATAGCCCGGCGTTTCAGACGGCAGCTGAGGACTCTGGGCTCGCGAGTGCCAGACGCTTGCTAAGCTGGTGGTTTTATTGCCCAAAGAAAGGGAGAATGTGGCGGATTGTTTTCTTTAGCCTGAGCTGTGATCTTGTCTTGGCCGCAGCCTACAGCAACTTTCGGAAGAGCATGGACAGCGTGGGGAGGAAGCAGTACCAAGTGCAGCACGGGTCCTGCAGTTACACGTTCCTGCTGCCTGAGACGGACAACTGCCGCTCTTCCTCCAGCCCCTACGTGTCCAACGCTGTGCAGAGGGACGCGCCCCTCGACTACGACGACTCGGTGCACAGGCTGCAAGTGCTGGAGAGCATCATGGAGAACAACACGCAGTGGCTGATGAAGGTAGGAGAGCCCGTCTGTGGTCCAAGCGAGGCAGAGCGCAAGCGGGTGAGGGCGCAGGTAGCCTGGGATGGAGGATCTTTTCTTTTATTCCAAGTAGTCATGGGGTGGAACGTGGAAAGGATTTTTTTTTTTTTTTTGCAAAGAATGCGGGAGTCAGGACAGAGACTCCTAAGTGAGAAATCTTTGCTGAGGAAGCAGAGAAGTGTACTTCTGCGTAAAACTGCTGCTGCGTTTGGGTTCTGAACACCCCCAGAGCAGGACGCTGCTCACAGGCACGCAAGGGAGGCTGTGAGCGCGAGCAGAGCAGAGCCAGGAAAAACGTGACAATCACGTTAATTGCTGATACCAAACGGATGGAGTCAAGTGCTTTACCAATTTCCTGAATTTATTTACGAAAACAGATTGTGACTCTTGGTAAATGAGAGGAAATGCAACACAGCAGCCCCTCGTTTCTCAGATCCCAAGGCTCGACCCTGAGGGTTGCTTTGCGTGCAGCCCCATGTGGGACCCTAATGCTCGAGGGATGTCATGATGAGATGGTCTGATAGTTTGTTCCCAGAGCTATGATCAACCCACTGTTCACAGACTTTATGGAGAGCATAACCGAAAGACGATATTGAAAGTTCTGTTTTTCCTTTCACGAATCATCATGTTCACAGAAAACCTCAAATGACCCTGGGATTTGCTTTATATGGACCATATGTACTCTAAGGGAAGTTTGAACAAAACCAGTGAATAGATCAGTTGTTAAATATTATAATGACGACAGCACATGACAAAGCTCACGCGGTGGAGAGTCTTTAAAGCCACATAAAACCTTTTACGAGTTGGTGAGCCTCATTCAGCACTTTCCCCCAGAACAGTGTAATTGTGTTCTCTGGCTTTCATTTCCCCCGTAAGCCTTCTGTCAGGGCACCTTATCTGAGTCGCAGAATAGGACTTGGCTCCTAATCTGTGTTTCTCATTAACTCCCCCATCTTCAGAGAGGAAGCGACTAAATTGCGCCTGAGTCTAAATGAATGAGTGTTCCCAGCGCGGCTGGTTATTATGACGAGAGGGGTTGCTCCCAATCAAAGAGCAGAAAACAACAAGAACTTACCCAAACACCCATCAGGAACAGACAATGTGATATGAAAGTCATTAGCAATGTGGGTAAAGTCGCCCAAGAGGGTCACTGTGCTCTTTAGAAATCTGCGGAAATCCATAGCTGTGCAAATGCAGTGTGCTAACCAGCAACGGTGTGCAGCAACACAGGTTCCCACGTGTGGCAGGCGAGCTGTGTCCGAGCCTCTGGCGACTCCAGCTTCCTACTTCCTTGTGAATTGCCATGCTCACATTCACCAACTCTCCCCACGGCTCCTGCGGCACAGAATGCCGGCCAGGGCTGGCGGCCCCGGGATTACGAACGCAGTAAACACCCAAATCTGCCTTTCGGGTCATCTCCAAAAATAAAGTCGTGAAACATAAAAGAGTTTGGCCAAGTGCTACACAGCTGGACTGTATCTGCTTCATCGAGCCCACATTAATGTATACCTGCAACCCCACAGGCAAAGCTCATGTTTCTTTCTCAGACAAACCACCCCTGCAACCAAAATTTCTTCCTTTCCAGGCTCAGTGAGTCAATATTTGAATAGTAGCACACTGGTATTTCCAAAGCCTTTCTTTAGCTGTTCAGCTAAATATCACCAGGGGCGACTTCATGTTTACCTGGCGCGGGCCCAGCCTGTCTCGGCAATGTGCACCTGAGAAGTGCAGATTTGGGCTTCTGGCTTGGAAACGAGAGCAAACAAACAAATACGAAACCCACTTGCAGTGATTAAATGTAACCTCTCCGCTTGTTTTTCTCTTCTGTGTTTTCTCACCTGAGATAATAAACACTGCTTTTCTCATAAGGAGGAAAATAACATTTAAGGGAATAGTAGATAAACCACATAATTGAAGCATCAGCATCGCAGCCTCACATGCAATTACAGATTGCACAGAAAGACAATTCTGTGGCTTTCATTGTTTTACATATTTTCTTTTAGGATGTTTATTTTTTTTTTTCATGTTTCCTTATCTCCTTTCCCCGACCAACCCAAAAAGAGCGAGCCAAAAAAAAAAAAAAAACCACCCAAAACCACCATCACATACCTGCCAAAAACCCTTTATGCTTTTTTTAAAAATTAAAAAGGTGTCAGGAGGGAAAACACAAACAAGGTTCTGTCTCGTTTAGGGCAGATGAGTTACTGGACTGTCCGGGAAGTCAGCACAGCCAGGGCACTCAGCCTGAGCAAGCTGCTGTGCACATCATCAAGGATCCCAAGCCGCCCCTTTAATCTGCAGGCAAAGGAAGTGTCAGATTCTGAATGAACACAGAGCAGTGTGAATGGAGCCCGCCAGGGGAGCCCCCATGTTGTGCAGTGGCCAAACAGGGACAAGTGAATTCATGCTGGTCTGTGCGCCAGACACAGCAGCGTGACCCCAGGGAGCACTCCATGCCATGTCCCCTTTAATCCTGCATATCCCAAACCTCTGTCCCAGGGACAACACTCCCAAACAGCCTAGCAAAATGCACTGTATTTTGCTGGGAGATCAAGTGTATTTTTTTTTCCTGATAAGAGGAAATATGGAAAGGAAACAAACAACTATTTCACACTGAAGAATGCCTCATATTTTATCAACAACTGCAAACTTCCAGCACAGTAAAACAGAAATATGAAAAACAGGTCTAATGCCTATTAAACTGATGTAAACATTTCCTCTGCCATCTTACTTAAAAAAAAAAAAACAAAACAATGTAAGTACAGGCTGGAAAATGTAAGCTTGAATCACAATCCTTATCTTTCTTTAGAAATGACAATAATGTATCCTTTTATAAGATATGAGAGATACTACTCACAATATATTTAAATTGGAAAAGTGCAAATTTAATAAAAAGTTTATTGTGCATCTAATGCAACATGAATAATATAATAAGTGCTTACTATAGGAGGGTACTTCAAAAAGTTCATTGAAAAATAAACTTTTAATTATTTTTTTTCTATAAACCTTTTGGAGCACCCTTGTATATAGTCCATAAAATATAATAAATGTGTTCTATATGCAGATATATTCATTTTCTATGGCCAAGCTGTCTCTGTTTATTAAATAGGTTGTCTGGCTTCCTGGGCTAACTCTCAGGTGTCCCCCTGTCAAGACACGATTATTTGCCTGCCCAGTCATGAACTAGGAGGTGGACTCCCATCATCTTACTACCTGTTGAGACACTAGATAATCCACATTTTTCAGTGCTGAACACTGGAAGTCTGCTGGTTTTGAAGCAATAGGACTCTTCACAGTTGACAGGCAGGTTGTGCTCCCAAAGCTGATCTGTAAAGCAGGTGCTACGCCGAGAAGTGGAAAGGATCACGCCTTGTACGTGGGAATCAGGTGCTGACAGAAATGCACAAAATCACCACAGTTTTCTCAATTTGCAATAAAACAACAGTTCAAAGCAAAACCCTACCACCATGTGGGTAATCTAAAACATAAAGCAAAAATATTATGAAAGTAAGACAGGGGTAAAGACAATAGGAAGTGGTTTCCCCTCCTCCTGATCTTCAGTTCCTTTCTCTGTGAGACTGGTACACAGAGGGCTATATGAGCCTTTTACTGTGACAAATTCAGCATCAAAACATACGACTCTCCTCCTTAAACCATGTGAAGTGGCATCATCCCACAGTCAGAGTCTTGGCTCAGAAACGGCATGAAAAGAGGTTAGACGAAAGATTTCACTTAGGGGAAAAAATAGCAAAATTTAGGAGGAGTAGATGAATTAAAGGGTTGGGAGGCCGTGTGTGTTGTGAGAAACAGAGAGGGAGGGAGAAAGAGAGAGAGAGAGAGAAGGTAGTTTATTAGTTTATATATTTTCATATCTGCTCATACAATGACAACAGGGCCCAGAGAGCTTTGTGCTCTCCTCATTGAGATCAAGGGAGAATATGCAATGAGTTACAAACAGGTATGGGCAGTGTGCAGAGCAGGTGTGCAAAACTGGCAGAATATTTGAATGTTACTCAATGATAATGACAACCCAGCACACAAACTATTCTCCCTTCTACCCTGTTTGTTTTATGTGATGGACCTGTGAAAACAGGATTGATTTGGGCAACCCATAAGGTCTAATTGAACAGGACCCATCTGGGGATACAATGCCTGCTATCTTTCCACTGCATTCCCCCTTGGTGATGAGATTGTCCTCCTGCCCTCCTAGGCTATAATGGACTTGCTCTTACACAGGGAAAGCACTCCACGTTCCAGTCCTGCTGTCTTCATGGCATATCAGTGGTGAGACAGCACTCGTAGGGGCATGGCATGGAGTTACTTTAATGCACTCTCCACTGCTCACCTCCTTTGGTCCCAAGAACACCTCAGGGGTGCAGGTGTGGTGGCAGGTACAACCCCACGTACCTCTAAATCAGCGCCTGGCCCTCTGCACAGGCAGCCTTGTGTGGATTTCCTAGGGGCGCAGGTGTGGTGGCAGGTACCCCATGTACCTCTAAATCAGCGCCTGGCCCTCTGCACAGGCAGCCTTGTGTGGATTTCCTAGGGGGAATGCAAGCATGGCAAGGCACGCAGTCTCCCACAGGGCTGGCAGGATCCAGCACACAGCTGAGAGAGATGTGCATGAATATGGATTTGAGCTCAGGCACACACTATTTCTCAGTTCCCTCACATGGGTGGGTGATTACCATCACACCCACACCATCCTTGCTGGGGCGCTTCTGGTTCAGGGCAGGAGCCAGTAAGCTTCATTTATTTCTTTAAAAAATATTTACAGAGGGCCTGCGCGTGTCCAGGCTGTGTTTGCTGTAGGTGCCTGGGGTAAGTCGAGGCGGAAGAAATGCCTGAGTTTTGCCCAGTGGGGACACATGGAGTCACTGACCACACTGTCCTCAGCACAGGGTGTGTGGCAGGAGGTGGCTGGTACCACTTAGAAGGAAAATACATGCAGGGAGAAAGAAAACACAAGGTGAAGT